AGTGTTCAGAAGATTGTTCAGAGCTTGACTTCTTAACGTTCTCCACTAGCTGTCTCCCTGAAAGGCTTCGTTTCTTGATGGCCGGAGTATCTTCCTTATGGATTCAGCTTAGTCACGAAGCCACGCAATTACACAAACACAGCTTATGCAAACCCCCTGCTAGGAACTGGTGCAGTTAGTGCTTAAAAACTTCAGTGAAACAGATATTTATGTATCTGTGTGTCTGCATATGAATTTACGACGCAGTCAGGTGGCTCATTTAGACGCTTTAGCGCTGTACTTAATGTTTTGCCTTCATGGAGATGTTTGTGTTTTATAAGTAAGATGTATGTAAGAGTTTGGCCCTTTTAGAGCAAACAAACACACCCGCTAAGAAAACCAGCCCTGCTCCAATAGATACACTATATAGTTTTACTTTTTTCTTATCATGCATGTACAAAGGTTAGTGTTACAGGAGCAAGCTTAGTGACATTGCTAATAGTTCGTTACTTTATCCCAGCAAATCGGTTAAAAGAACAAGTGAAATCCGTGCCTGCATGGATGTTTCAGATCTGCTGGAGAACCTGAAGGTAGTTCTCTTGTCCAGACTGATTCAGCTTAATTTCTATCCTCAGCATTATTATTAGTATTGTTACACACTTCTATAACCTAAGAATAGTTCCATTATTTTGCATTGAAGTCCCTGTAGCTGCTGAATAATAAGCTTTTGTATGTAATTGGATTGTTAAGGGTGGATGTACCATTGTTGGTGGTGGATTTCACTGCAGTCCAGCATCGAAAGTTTAACAGGTTGTCCCCAAACGTGTGTCATCATCATAATCATGTCTGGCTCCCAGAAGACTAGTTGACTAGTTGAAGCCAGGGGGCAGTTGGAAATATGTGACTGTATAATGCAAATTCAAAACTATTACACCCTTAAAATCTGTTGTTAGGACAACAGACTGAGTCTTATCAAAGCTGTGCTTATGAAGTTCTGTCTAAGCTTGGAGCAACACAAAAAAAAGCAATTCTGTTACTTTTTCTTTCCTAAATCCTTTACTTTATGGTGTTGCCATATGGCAATAGTGACTTTCTAGGTGTCTGTTATTCAAGATTCAGTCACAATTTAAAGTAAAAATACCAACCCAAGCTGTGGGAGGTTACAGTTCTTTTCCATAAATAGAACCAATGTAGATTGTGTGGGTTTTATATAAAATGAAGTGTAGTTGTTGCCTTATGACAACAGCATGCGACCCAGTGATTTTCTAAGTGTGTGTAATTCAAGACTCAATCACAATTTAACAAAAAATACTAACTCAAGCTGTGAGAGGTTACCGTTCTTTGTCTTAAATAAAAACAATGTAGATTGCGTGGGTTTTTATATAAGTTTAAATGTAATTGTTGCCATATGGCAACAGCATGCAACCCATAGGGAACACTGGATGTATCATTCATTATGTTCCAAGTTGACTGTGTTTTCATATTCTTATCTGTATTCTTAAAAACATTTATGCATATTTGGCTGTTATTTGCATGTTTTTCATGCTTGGATGATGACTGTGGTTATGTCTTACGGCCGTGTATTGGTTCCCCTTTCAACATATTTTTGTCAATTTTTTTATATTTGGATTGGTTATGCCATTTTTAATAAGAAAAGTCATTAAAAAACATATTATATGTGTATCTCTTAGGTCATAGAGTAAAGGGTTAACATTTTCTGGTATCCATGACAATCAGGCAGAGCCTGTGAAAACTCCGCCCACACCACTATGCTGGTAAGTAATAAGGAGAACTAGCACCGTGTCAGAAAGAACAAATTATAGTGATTCATAGCTTCATTTAGAAATGCCTTTGCCTGAAGAAGTGTTGAAATTGGAGTAATCAGTGGTGCCACGGTTGTTTTGTATTTCTGGTTTGCTGCTGGTTATAATATTGGAGTAATTTGTGACTTGTGTCTTCATTTCATTCAGTATTTATAGTTTGTAATAGCAAATTTACCAATTACTATTTTAATTATTCCTGATCTATTTTACTTCCAGCAAATAAATCCAGAGTAAATCTTCGAGATGAGGTTTGAAGGTGTCGAAAGGTCAGTGTGTGGGATTTTTGAATGGTTCTTCCGCACCTTTCTTCTTTTCTTCGCTTCCGTATCGGTCCGTTTTCTCTCCGTTTTCTGTGTACAGGTCAGCACTGTCATGGCAACCGAAGAACAAAAGTGCTTCCACATCACTGAGATAGTCCCTGCTGTGGACAGTGTGTAAAATTCAGCTCACTCTTGATCTGGTAATTTCCTGCATCATCTCTCTCTCCTGTTTTTTTTTGTCTCCAAACCTCCTCCGTACATCCACCCCCTCCTCGCCCATTCTCATCCCTCTCTTCTTCTCTTTCTCTAACAAAGTGGTAGCAGTGTAACTCTTCAGTCCTGCATCTGTTAACATCTGAGCGGGCTTTCTGAGTCTGGTCTGAGATCAGAGCTCCACCTGAAGGATGTGGAAGCTTCACATATGTAGCCTCTAATCGTAAAACAGCTTAATAAAGTATTGAAATATGCTAAAAAAGAATAGATCTCAAAATTGACCATCATCAGTACAGCCCCCGGGTTTCTTATCCAGGGAAACCATTGTCAATGATCAAAATTAGGCATCTTAGTTATAGTTATAGTATAGTATTAGTTATAGTATATAAAATTTGTAATGTTGGGCCAATCCATATTTTTCCAGCTCCGATCCGATTCCGATTCCAACTGCTGTTACCGAGACAAGTTCCATTATTATTGTTGGTATTGTGTTTAACGTTGTATTTAAGGTGTTTAATCTTTAAATCACTAAGCACATCTGTAATAGAGGCTGCACCTGCACTGCTGGTGTGTGACCCCCTGCACCTTTTCACCTGAAAAAGCGCTCTGTAGTGCACGTTTCTGAGCTCACCCAGTGTACAGTGAGACTTATCAGACACTCTGGGCTCACATCTAAGGTCCAAATATCATGGCTTCAACATGAAACCTCTGTAGGTGTTTGATTAAACTGGTTGTATTGTGCGATGCAGCCGTACTTCCACCCCTCGGCACGCTGGCTTTACACACATTATAAGTAGCAGTTCTGCTTTTTGGCGTTTCCAGACTAAAATATCTCCAAACAAATGACATTTTAGTCAAATCAACAGCTAATGCTATTTGCTCACTCAGTTACAGACTGAAGTTGCCGCGGGTTCATGGTAAGATGGAATGGAATCTGGATCGGTGGTGTGTTTATGTTACATTACAGCAGGTTCATGGTCCAGCGCAAGCTGCGGACTGGAAAACGGATCGGTAAGTGGATCGGTCCTGTCCGTCGGATATCCGATGAGTGAAGTGACGTCAATATCGGACCCGATACCAATATCGGATCGGTCCAATTTCTGTAAACGTTACTGTCTTTTACAGCGGTGCCACAGTGGTTGATTTTCCATTTAAAGACCAGGAATACCCCCTTCTGATGATGTATCTTGAAGGTGGGAGGAGCTTTTGGAAAACAAGCGCTTTCGGGTGGATACGTGAGTGCCACAGTAGCTCTTCTGTTGGTTCGGATCTGACGGGATAGCCTCTGGTGCCCTGGTGCATTGATGAGCCTAGGGTGCCCAACACCCTGTCATCAGTCTGTGGTTTGTCCCTTGATCGGGCCACTGTTGGTAGGCACTCATCGCTCCTGACCTGGAGCACCCTGCAAGCCTTGCCATTTTGGAGAATCTCTGACCCAGTCGTCTGGCCATAATGATTTGGCTCTCGTCACAGTTTCTCAGGTCATCTTGCCTGCCCATTTCTCCCACAACCAACATGCAGACTACGAGAACCAACTGTTCACTTACTGTCTAAGACAGGGGTGTCAAACTAAACCACTAAAGGAGCCATATTAAAAATTCTCGACCAAACAGTGGGCTCAAACTCAAACTGGCCATTGTTTATTCAAAATACTCAAAAACTTCAACAGTAAAATACAGACACTTGTAGTAGACATTGCAATATTACATGAATACATTGAAATATTCAAAATTTAAACAACCCCAGGAGTTCAGTCTTTTAAACCTACCTATCTGCTTGAACTAGACACCTGGCATCCTTTCTTTGCTGCAAGTTCATTAATACTTGGGCTGAATTTCTGAGCTGCTGAGCTGAAGTTTATATTGGCTGACCTGCAGCTGAAATGCAGCTGGTGTGTTTGGTGACATGACTGGTGTGGAATTGTGTAGAATTCTGTAGAACTGAGGTGTAGCTGCTGTGCCATAGATTGTTGCTGGTGTAGGAGAGTCAGAGCGCACATTATGTTGCAGTGCATGCTGGGAACCGTAGTGCAGCATGTTGTGAAACAGGCTAATATTAGTAGAAAATTAAGATACTTTTGCAGGCCGGATAGGATTGTGTCGTGGGCCTGATCCGATGATTATATGTAAAAAGCTATTTATCTGGGCAGTAAGCATTTATTCACTCATACACATAACAATAATACAGAAGGTGGTCATGTTGTGTGTGTCAGTGTGTTGCTTAACTATTTCCAGGCAGTCCAGTGTAATTGGTAATCATCCAGTACCTGCTTTGACTTCATGTTAAATCAAGTGCACTGGTGGCTGGAGGTGTCCAGGAGAAATCTGTCACCAAACTTTGTTCTTCTAACTAGCTGACAAGAACTACTTTTCTGAAAACAAGAAATTCTTATTTTTTTAATATATCTGTGGTTATTTGAATTTATTCCAATGGCATATGGTGATTATACAAGCAAAAACACATCTAATCCCATGATAAATGCTTTAAATAATGCACCTGAAACTGTTGCACAGCACTGTGTATCTACACCAAGGGGGACCTGGGAGAGTTAAGAGTTAAGAATTAAGTTAAGCTGAATTATTTTTTGTCTGGACGCTGCTGAACCTGACCAATGAGCTGCTTAGGAAAACTAGTGCATGTCTACATCTGATCCTTCAGTGAAAACGTGTATATGGTAACCCCTCTCTCTCTCTCTCTCTCTCTCTCTCTCTCTCTCTGTCTTCAGGCAGAAAGCTGTACAAAGTCCTGACAACCCGAGACACCAAAAATGCCTGTTGCATCAGCCAGCTCTGACTCAGGTGAGCCGCCTCCGTCCTCTTTCTCTTTGTTTTCTTCTCTCTGTTCTCCTTTTCCTCTTTGTTTCACAGTTTTATTTTCACGGATTGATTATCTGCTCAAGACTTCCTTCTTATTCTCTGAACTCGAGTCTTTTATTTGGTCTTCTGTTCAAAAGTAACGCTTTGAAGAACCCGTATCATGTTGCTTTTGTTTTTAAGTGATGATGTAAACACCAGAAAAGTTTCAAAGCAGTTCTGATGAAGGCTTAGCATTGGAGTTCTGCTCAAGTTTGAATCCCAGGCATCTGCAGACATGGGCAGCATCTGCTTTATCGTTTGGCGAGCATATGCCTCAGTTCATGCATATATACATCCTTTTCATCTTCCCAGTCCACAGGCCGCCTTGTCGTCAGAGGCTCGGAGGGGAACGCAAAACGCCACATGACCATATGGACGGCCAGTTTGTTAGAGACTCACTTAGTGAAAGAGGAGAGGCGCCTGCTGTGATGAATCCCAGAAGCATTTGGGTTCAGTCTTGAGAACATGTTAGAATGCCCTGAATTTAGCTGTTCACTTTATTAGAGAAACCTGCTTAGTGCTTCCACTCATTGGCCACTTTAGTAGAAACACCTGCCTTGTACTTCCAGTCGCTGGCCACTTTATTAGAAACACCTGCCTTGTACTTCGTCACTGGCCACTTTATTAGAAACACCTGCCTTGTACTTCCAGTCACTGGCCACTTTATTAGAAACACCTGCCTTGTACTTCCAGTCACTGGCCATTTTATTAGAAACACCTGCCTTGTACTTCCACCCACTGGCCACTTTATTAGAAACACCTGTCTTGTACTTCCACCCACTGACACACCTGTCTTGTACTTTCATTCACTGGCCACTTTATTAGAAACACCTGCCTTGTACTTTCACTCACTGGCCACTTTATTAGAAACACCTGCCTTGTACTTTCTCTAACTGGCCACTTTATTAGAAACACCTGGTTTCTACTTTCCCTGACTGGCCACTTTATTAGAGACACCTACCTTGTACTTCCACTCGCTGGCCACTTTATTAGAAACGCCTACTTTGTACTTCCACCCACTGGCCACTTTATTAGAAACACCTACATTGTACTTCGACTCACTGGCCTTTTTATAAGCTCTGCCCATCTTATTGGTCCACTACATTGGTGTACAGTTACAGACTGCACAGTTTATCGTCCCTCTACCCCATTCGTCATTGGTCAATTCCTGACCACAGGACCAATGCGGGCATGGCAGTTTGTGTGGTGCTGGTGTGAGTATATTAGATACAGCAGTGTTGTTGCCAGGTTGAGAGTGGTCAACCACCCAAAAAAAAAGGCAGGAGCGACTCTGTGGTCACTGGTGAAGGGCCAAATGCTAACTGTATATCATCAGATGAGCTACAGTCTCTAAGTGTACACCAGCAAGGTGGAGCTAACTCTTCCAGCCCTAAGCTATGCAGCTGGCTGATATATTTTAGTTGTGTTGCCTCTGAGACTCTCTGAGCATTGGAACACTGCAAGGCGAAAGGAGAAGTGATGTGAAACACATCTTAGATGAGCCACCGTAACTACTGCTCTGCCCAAATGCAATCGCGAGCGGAGTGATGGAGCGGAGTGATTTACATTCACTCAGTGAGAGACAGCTGTGTTATCTTGCTGGGCTCAAGTGAGGTCAAATGCCTTATAAGACATAAAAAACTTCATCACACATAAAAAGTGAAGAGGGTATGAGAGGGAGAGCAAAACATGAATCACTAGAAGTGAAGGAAGGCAAAGCAATAAGAGAGGGAAGAGCAGGTGGAGAACACAGTGAGACTGGAGAGAAGTGAAACCACTGGCTTATCATGGGGTAACAGAGCTATCCGACTGGGTTTTCTGGCCTGTGATATCTCTGAAAGGGGAATTCCACATGTAGTTTTAAATTTCTATATAATTGAGATGTAAAGAAAAATAATTCAGAGTGGTTTGATGTGAAATGGTTAATTTGTAGAGAAATTTACTCAGATTTCCTTACAGTGGTGGTGATAGGACCAGGGGTTGTAAATTTGGCAACACAAATATAGCCATTTTATTCACTATCTAAAACCACCAGTGAACATACACGTGTCTGCTGAGTTTTTGTATGGAATATTAATGGTAAAACAGTGTTAAATCCAAAAATAGATGGTTTCTCTTGGGCCTATTTTGCTTTAGAATGCCATGCATAGTCTTGAGCCTCTGGGGAGTCTGAGTTGAGTCTCGAATCTGGAGTATGAGTCTGGGTTTTGAGAATCAAAGTTGTGTCGCAGATCTCTGGGGTACAACTCTGAGTCCTGTCTTGAGTCTCTGGGGTATGAGTCGACTCAAGGTGGATTGTCTGTGGTGCAGGTCAAGTCTCAGGTCTCTGGGGTGCCAGTCGAGTTTTAAATCTCTGGGGTGCTAGTTGAGTCTCAAGTCTCTGGATTGCAAGTACAGGTTGAGTCTCGAGTCTCGAGTCTCTGGGATGTGAGTCAAGTCTCGAGTCTCTGGGGTCCGAGACCAGGTCAAGTCTCGAGTCCCTGTGGTTCAAGTCCAGGGTCAGTCTCGAGTCTCTGGGGTGCGAGTACTGGTCGAGTCTTGAGTCTCTGGGGTGCGAGTACAGGTTGAGTCTTGAGTCTCTGGGATCTGAGCCCAGGTCAAGTCTCGAGTCTCTGGGGTGTGAGTCGAGTCTCAAGTCTTTGGGATGTGAGTCAAGTCTTGAGTCTCTGGGGTCTGAGTCCAGGTCAAGTCTTGAGCCCCAGGGGTTCGAGCCCAGGTTCAGTCTTTTGTCTCTTGGGTGCTAGTCCAGGTCGAGTCTGATTTGATTGGAAGGTGTAGAGAAGTTTTTACACTTTTCTTCTTCTCAGCTTATTTTCTACATTTTAACTGTCCACCAGCAAGGTCAAGGGAGGGATTTCTGATAAAGTGGATAGTCGGTGTGCAGCACCAGTGGCTCCAAAGTATCTGACAGGGGACCATGAGCACCTTTCAGTTCCACTGCCAACACCTTAAAACTTTTACAATCAGACAACATCTCTACAACGAGACAACCCAAAGGAGCCTAAAGTGAACGACCATCTGGTAACTAGACGTTACTCCTTAGTGCAGTCCAAGAAGGCTTACATGCTGAAATTGAACTGTCCCACCAGTAGAGGATGATACTGGTGCCAAAATAGAAAGAGAACATCCTTGGCAAAATAATACATGAAAAAAAATTGATACCATCTTTTGAGTTCAACTTTGCTTTATCAGTCTGTCATGATCTCTTTCCTCAGAGGGTGAATGACTCACCCAGCTCTGAGCAGTGTTACACGACAAGATGTGCTCACGTATGGCTTCAAAAAATGATTTTAGATTCTTATTTGCTGTCTTTAAAGTCTCAGCTTTTAACGAGTGTTTGGGGAAGCTGCATCGTCTTTGGTTTGGCTTTGGGATCTAGCGTTCGTTCAAAGACTTGGATCTTTCAGGCAGACTCCAACTGTCAGAACAAAGATTTTTGGCAACAAAGAAACGTCGGCAAACAGGGCGGCGTGCTAATAAAAGGGGAATGAGCGAATGGCGTTTGGTAAGTCCGTCCGGCCTTTGCCTTTCTTCTGAGAAGTGTGGCGATAATGAGTCCTTGCACGTCTTCGTTGCCTCGGATTAAGACCGCGCTCTCTCTGTTTTTGTTTATATTTTTTTTATTTCATCTCTGGAAGGATTCAGGGCCTGCAGGGAGAGGAACAGTTCTCCTCCCTTTCCTCTGTTTTCTCGGGGGAGTCGTTACACTACAACTCTCTCTCTCTCTCTCTTTCCCTCTCTCTCGCTCTCTCTCTCGGGCTGGCTCTCAGCTGTGCCAAGATCCCTCAGGGTGGTTGTCAGGCAAAAGAAAGAAAAAGAGAGAGAGAGAAGGGTGTGGCTGTGTTGTCTCTTCTAAACTGACATTGTCCAGCTAAAAGAACTGATGGGATGTGAAAGTGAACCAAGAGTCCTGTCCACTTTTCATCCATCATATTGTGTCTACCGTCACGTAGTACCTATAGCCTATACCTTCGTATAATGCCTACTGTCATATAGTGCCATCAAATTGTCATATAGCACCTGTAGCCTATACCTTCACGTAGTATCTACTGTCATATAGTGCTGTAATATAGCACCTACTGTCATATACTACCTATAGATTATATCTTCATATAGTGCCTACTGTCATATAGTGCATATTGTCATATAGAACCTACGGCCTGCATCTTCATACACTGCCTACTGTCATATGGTGCCATCAGATCCTGTCCACATGTAGTACATATAGCCTGTGTCTTCATATAGTGCCAACTGTCATATAGTACCTACTGACATATAGTGCTGTAATATATCTCATACTGTCATATAGTACCTATAGCCTGTACCTTCATGAAGTGCCTACTGTCATATAGTGCAATATAGTGCTGTAATATAGCACCTACTGTCATATACTACCTGTTGATTATATCTTCATATATTGCCTACTGTCATATGGTGCCATCAGATAGTTCTTGTCCTCAAATAGTACATATATATCCTGTGTCGTCACATAATGCTGTGATTTAGCACATACTGTCATATAGTATCTATAGACTGTACCTTCAAGTGGTGCCTACTGTCATATAGTACCTACTCTTATATAGTGCCATCATATAGTTCCTCTAGTCTATACCATCATATAGTATCTGCCATCATATAATAATATAGCCTATATCATCATATAGTTCCTACCATCATATGTACTATATGTAGCCTGTACCATCGTATAGTACCTACCATCATATAGTGCCTCTAGCCTATACTGCCATATAGTACCTACCGTCATATAGTACGAATAGCCTATACCGTCATGTAGTATCTACCATCATATAGTGTCTCTAGCCTATACCATCATGTAGTACCTATAGTCTATACTGTTATATAGTATCTACCATCATATAGTATGTATAGCCCATACTGTCTTATAGTACCATTATATAGTATCTACTGTCGTATAGTATCTC